ATCAGATTTTAGCTAACGGTCACGACAGTTGATTGCAAAAGTCCAACTTTCCTATAGTGGTTGGATTTAACAATTTCTTAGGTTTCAAAATTTGCTGTCTATATAATAAATTCATATTTTATACTGAAATATTTTATGAAAAAGAAGAGAGTAAGAGAAAAAGGGTGAAAGAAATATTACTCGTTGAATCTTTCTCTTCATTATTTGTAATTAATGACATTCTTTTTGAATGATATACTTGTGTTGATAAAAGACTTGACACATTAAAAGAATTCTTGTCCATGAAAGTACACTAGGAACAGTAGAATGTGCAAACGTTTCCCACCACTCCCACTCACCACTTTTGCTCTCTGCTTACAGGAAAAAAACATTGAAAAAATAGAATCAACTTTGCCCCAGGGGACTTTCATTCTATACTTTATCTATGCTTTATGACTTTTTATGTAATGTAAATATTTTGAATGAAAGGTACATGACACTCAATAGGACACAATTGAGAAAAAGAATTCATGTAGCTGATCCCACTTAGTTGTTCCCTGCCACTCCCATCCCCTGCCACTTGTGCTCTCTGCTTACAGAAAAAAAAGTATTGCAAAGATAGAATCAACTTTGTTCCAGGGGACTTCTGTTCTCTACTTATCTATGCTTTATGTCTCTTTATATATGTAAATATTTTGAATGATAGGTTTATGACACTCAATAGGACACAATGGAGAAAGAGGATTCATGTAGCAAACCTCACTTAGTGGGATAAAGGTTGCTGTTGTGCTCTGCCATTTAAAAGTTTTTAGAATCAACATTGTCCTTTTGAATGGTCGTAGATATTAAATTCAAATATTTCTTTCTATATTTTTACCATGATTGGTATGAGCAACGACTTCCATTTTCTTTTGCTTTTCCTGGTAACTATTTCCTTCATCATATCCTGCTAATTGATCCTAAGTTTACTTTGGCCTTTCTGCTATCCTCTTTTCTTCAAGTTTGAAACCCAGTGAAGCCTGAGTTCTCTCTTTGCAAAGAATGGGTCAGGGAGAGCCATCAGATCCTGCTGCCCATTGACCTCCTGTGATGTTAATTGAAAAGCAAACCACTTAATGTTGATTTAAGATCCGTTTCCTTATCACCAAACTATGATTTACTTTGGTTTATTCTGGTAGGCTCTTTTCCATGTTTTTAGTTGATTCATCAATCTCAAAAATAAGATCTATATTCATGCAACATATTTATTTAGGGAATTTTGTTACTAAGAGAACTTGCCAAGAGAGGTTGAGTCAAACATGACATGAGATAAGATGTCTAGTTTGTTTAGTGAATTAATATAGGGCTTTTGAAATGTCTAGGAATAGATTATAAATTGATAATGAGTCTTGGTGATTGAGGGGGGAGGTACAAAAGATTATCAAGGTGAAGAAATGCGTTTTTAAAAGATGATCAAAATGAGTATTAATAATGCTTATAATGATTATTTGAAAGTAAAAAGTTTTACAAAGAGGGTTGAATAACCCAAAAGTTATATATTTTTTATTAATCTATGTGATAGACCTATTGCTAGTAATGAGAAAAGGAGATTTGCAGAGTAGCTGAGGTAAGATATAAGTGATCTAAGAACTTTGATCAAGTTAGATTCATTAAAGTAATTATATTAATATCTTAATTAAAAATGAAGTCATCTAGGAATGATGTAAATATTATATTGAGAAATTATTAAATTGGAGCTTTAAAGAAGAAATTATTTTAGAAGAGCTTAGCATATGATATAGTAAAGCATGGTATCAACTAATTCAAAAAATTGAAGCAGGGTTAGCCTAAAAATATTTAAGATAAAACTTTAGATCCATACGAGATACCGAATGAGTTATATGAGATGTTGTAGTGATTTAATATAAATTTATGGACTATTTGAATGTTAAATGATTGGAGAGGAAGTATCTTCGTATAATATTTAGGAACAAAGACGATCAAGATTCCTCTAATTTCAATTATCATAGGTTTACTTTAAGGAATGTCATTTAGTCAAAAATCTTTTTATATTGATTATTGATATGCTTATAAATGTTATTCAAAGCGGGTGCTTTAGTGTTTGAATTTTGCAAATGATTTAGTTCTAAGTTGTGAAACATTCATTGAAATAACTGAGAATTAGAACAATGAAGGAGAAGTTTAGAAGATTCAATTTTATAGATGTAAGTTTATTCGATCTAGTATATAGAAGAATAGAGATAAAAAAGAGGATATAAATCGTAGTTAAGTATGAATAGTTAAAATTGAGAAGTTTCTTGAGAGATTTGTGTGATAAAAGAATATCATGGAGGTTTTGATATCGAGTTAACCCAAACCTCAATCGAAATGTAAATATTATTACTGAAATTCAATAGGGTTACCTACAATGACTCTTGATAATAGGAAAATAATAACACAAACATAAAAGACACTCTAAGGTGAGGTCGAAAGTGGTGAACACCGCTGGACAGTAGGGAGGTTGTGGCTGCAGCAAGTGGACTGGTGAGGGGCTGCGACAATTGCATGAGGGTTGTGGTGGGATTGCAACAGTAGTCTAGGGTGCTGGAGGGGGTTGCGGTAACACGGTGGAGTGCTGGAGGAGTTTGGCGGCAATAAGCAGGGGACTTGGAGAGATGCGCGACAGCTGGCGGGGTGGTTGGGGTTCTGGGCAGCAAGCAGGGAGAGATAGGGGAAGGGTTGTACGATGCCTGGACAGTAGCAAATGGCTGTTAAAACAATTCCGGTAAAAATGAAACCAAATCCGGTGGTTGGGATGAGGTTGGAGAACCGTAGAAAGGCAGATAAACATCACCTCAGGACGATTTACAACCAGAGCATCTTCTTGCCTTCTAATACATTCTTCAAAGGAAAAAACTTGGAAACCGACGGTTGTCATGACAGAAAACTCAGCAAAAACTAACTCTTGACAAAGCAAATGACATTTATACTAGTAGATATTTAGGAGGATTTGGTTGGCAACCCTAACTCAAATAATTGAGCCGGCCGCACCCCCTTGCCTCTCTCCCTGAGCCAGTCCAGCCTTTTCTGGGCTGGCCCTTGTTCAGCAGCCCTGCGTCATATTTAAAATGCAAAAAATTGAAGCAGGGTTAGCCTAAAAATATTTAAGATAAAACTTTAGATCCATACGAGATACCGAATGAGTTATATGAGATGTTGTAGTGATTTAATATAAATTTATGGACTATTTGAATGTTAAATGATTGGAGAAGAAGTATCTTCGTATAATATTTAGGAACAAAGACGATCAAGATTCCTCTAATTTCAATTATCATAGGTTTACTTTAAGGAATGTCATTTAGTCAAAAATCTTTTTATATTGATTATTGATATGCTTATAAATGTTATTCAAAGCGGGTGCTTTAGTGTTTGAATTTTGCAAATGATTTAGTTCTAAGTTGTGAAACATTCATTGAAATAACTGAGAATTAGAACAATGAAGGAGAAGTTTAGAAGATTCAATTTTATAGATGTAAGTTTATTCGATCTAGTATATAGAAGAATAGAGATAAAAAAGAGGATATAAATCGTAGTTAAGTATGAATAGTTAAAATTGAGAAGTTTCTTGAGAGATTTGTGTGATAAAAGAATATCATGGAGGTTTTGATATCGAGTTAACCCAAACCTCAATCGAAATGTAAATATTATTACTGAAATTCAATAGGGTTACCTACAATGACTCTTGACAATAGGAAAATAATAACACAAACATAAAAGACACTCTAAGGTGAGGTCGAAAGTGGTGAACACCGCTGGACAGTAGGGAGGTTGTGGCTGCAGCAAGTGGACTGGTGAGGGGCTGCGACAATTGCATGAGGGTTGTGGTGGGATTGCAACAGTAGTCTAGGGTGCTGGAGGGGGTTGCGGTAACACGGTGGAGTGCTGGAGGAGTTTGGCGGCAATAAGCAGGGGACTTGGAGAGATGCGCGACAGCTGGCGGGGTGGTTGGGGTTCTGGGCAGCAAGCAGGGAGAGATAGGGGAAGGGTTGTACGATGCCTGGACAGTAGCAAATGGCTGTTAAAACAATTCCGGTAAAAATGAAACCAAATCCGGTGGTTGGGATGAGGTTGGAGAACCGTAGAAAGGCAGATAAACATCACCTCAGGACGATTTACAACCAGAGCATCTTCTTGCCTTCTAATACATTCTTCAAAGGAAAAAACTTGGAAACCGACGGTTGTCATGACAGAAAACTCAGCAAAAACTAACTCTTGACCTTGCCTCTCCCCCGGAGCCAGTCCAGCCTTTTCTGGGCTGGCCCCTGTTCAGCAGCCCTGCGTCTTATTTAAAATGCAAATATATATATATATATATATATATATATATAAAAAAATAACACTATAGTTCCCTAAAGTTGTTATATGGACCTTGATGTTGGGTATTTGCGTTGTAAAAAAGTCATTTATATCTAAGTTCGGTGCGGTAGAAATGAAAAAAACTATGATAGAAGTGGCCAAGTTCGGAAGGATAAATAATAGAATTATTGTATTAAGGAAAAATATTAGAGCAACTTACATTGAAGATATAGTGACTGAAAATAAAGTATGGTGGTTTGAACACGTGCAACGATGGTAAAAGATGCCTACTAGACGAGTTGATAAAATTAGTATTAGAAGCTTCAGAAGAAAAATGCACAGTTCAAAATAATTTGTGCAGAATATGTTTAACATCTAGAACATCACTCAACAGAACTAATGAAAAAAATGAGGATCCATAATGCCAACCCTAATTAGCTGGGAATAAGTTAACGACAATCACTTCAATCTTTAATATTACTGGAGTACTCTATCCTAAATTTATATATTCTTGAAAACATGCCACCTTGTTTAATTTTCGTTAGTTTAAAAATTAAGTTGGTATGGTAGGCATCTTGCCAGGAGGATATCCTTTCTGGAATGTTTTTTTTTTGTCAGCTATTTTAATCGAGCTAGCATCCTTGATTTAAAGACATTTCTGATAAAATTTTCCACTTTTATTGCAGGTTGAAGCTTTGGCTTTTTTTGGCATATGTTATATCCTTCGTTTCTCTTGCAGCAGCTGTGGGTTTGTTGGTGCAAGATGCACTTACTGACAAAGGCCACTCTGTATGGTCCGGCGTTGCTGGTGTCCTACAATGTGTCTTCATATTGATCAGGTATCAAATTTGTATTTTTTGTGCCCAAAATGTTTTTCCCGGAAATTGTCCTTATTAAGACGCAAAAGAAAGGGTGTTCGTTTTGAACATGTTGATTTAATTAATGCGTTTACTGTGCATTTTATATATGAATATTGGAAAATTTGCATACATACCATTCTAATTTCTATGTTTTACATACCTAACACCTAAACTTAAATTTTTACATTTATATTCCACCTTGCTTATGCATGAGAAGGTGTTTTACTCTTTTAGAAGTTAAAAGTGGTATTTTTGATGTGATATGAATGATTTGAGTGGTATAAATGTAAAAAAAATAAAGTTTAGTTATTAGATATGTAAATACATTCCAATTGGGTGGTATGTATGTAAATGCCCCATGAATATTTAGGGCTCAGTTGGTTACATCTTTGCAGTGGGCTGATATATTGGACCTGTCATTCGGATGATTGAACGATGCGTGGAAAGCATGCGGAGTTGCAAATGCCTTTGTATCTTCAATCCTATACGTGTTTTTTAATTTTTGTTGCGTCTTCATAGCTTTGTATTTTTATTGCATGTGTATTTCGAATGCATCTAATGTACTTAGCTGGGATAAAATTATTATGCATTTTCTGTATAGTTACTGTATAAGTGAACAGCTATTGCTATTATGTTTTAAATATGGTTTCTGTATTGTCCGGGAGTTCAATAGGAAAAGTTCTTCAGAACAGATCCTTGCAGAACTACATATAAGAAAGAAATTATCTCCTTTTTTTTATTTTGAGATTTTGTTTTCCTTCTGATATATTTAAGTCAATGAAGAGGAGGATTGTAAGAATTTGTGGGTGTTAGTGTTTCTTTCAGCAAATTTGGAAGGGGAATTCCTAGTTGAATTTCTGCGGGATCTTTTGGTAACTTTGTAAATGAAGGATTGAGAACTGTTCAAGTTTTGTTCTGTATGCTTCAATATGGACCAGAACTTGTGTGATTTTGACATCTCTTTTGTAATGCCTGTGTTATCGGGTAGATCTTTTTTTATTTGAAATTCGGTAATTAGAATTGTTTTTCTTATTATTATGAAATATTTTTTCTTAATTGATAATATTTCCATTATTAACTTCTTTTTTTTTTATCGATTGTATTTACTTATTTATACAATAATTCTATTGAAAAATCAATGAAGTTGTATTCTAAGTTTCTGAGTATGATATCAGAGCTATGAATGAGAATCATCTCAAATCTCACCGCTCTCCCACACTCTGCTTTTACTTTGATACCGTACTTTTTCTCATTGCTCTCATCATATTCCCTGTCTGTGCTTTTAAACTATATTTCGATATTATCATCCTCATGCAACCCTTTCATGATGCCGCTTCCACTTATGAAATATATGTAGCCACCTATTCATGCTGTTATGCACACGCTTCTTTCCTCACCACACAACCACCAAGCCCTATAACTCAACTCGTCACCCCTACGCTCTGGAACCTCCAAAACATTGTTCCACAAACAAGCTTTACTTCTATGCTCAGTTTGTGATGTTGCACCCATCCTCCATAGCTACACTTGATGCTAATTCGCTGAAGCCATTGTTCTCATTTGTGCGCTCCTTGTTTTCACCTTCTATATCTATTGATGTTTCACTCTTTACTGTTGTATAGTCCTCTTAGCATCCTCATGAGTCACCATTTTTGTGGTTTCAAGTTACCTATCTGTTTGTCATTAATGTGATAGCATCTGACTCTAATGATGCCATGAATTTTTTATTCTCTTACTCTCATGATAATTTTGATCGATTCATTCTATAAATTCAACCATTTGTCTCAGCATCTCATGCGGTTTTTCTTTGGGTCTGCTAAAATTGTCATTAATTTTATGCCTTTGGTCTTGGATTTCAATGATTCATCTCATATGACAGGTAACTGAAAAATATTCTTGTCTCCTTTCGCTCTTGCTGTTTGTTGCTGATGATAATGTTTTGGTCTTGAGAATAGGGTTTGCACATCTTTCCTTCTCGCTGTCTATTGATAATAATCTGTCTGTCTATAACCCTAGATCTTGTACTCTTTTTCATGATAATTCTGATAGACTGTTTTGACAAAACCATTTGTTTAAGACCTCATGCTGCCTAAGTTTGTTGCAGTTATCTCTATTGGTCCTAGATTGTGCCTCTTTCTTCTATATGACTGGTAACCAACAATTATTTGTCTTATACATATACTTTTTCATCTCATATAGTTGTCGATGGTTCTCCTTAGCCTCAGCAAAAAGATATATATTCATCTTTCCTCCTTGACCCTATGTAGTATTCTTTTTGTTCTTGAATTTCCTATCAATATTTTATGTATACATTCTCTAGCCATGATGTGGTGTATATAATACACATATACGCATTATTATCAGAGGATTAGATTGTTCGTGTGATATTTATTGAGTAATAATATCCTGTTTCAGAGTCATTTTGCTTCTTTGGCGTGTTCATTAGATAAATTCTTTGTCACCATAGAGAGCTCTTTATCTTGTAGGGATAGACATTTTGACTCACCAACCAGAATGGACTTTCACACTACTAACTGATGATTTTATCGTAAAAAGGGGGAGTAAGTTTCCAGAATACTTACATAAAAGAAACCCTTGAGAATGATTATGCAAATCATCAAATTCACCTGGTTGTTTGTATTAATAGGAAGGATTTTATTAAGTGTATAGGATAGAAAATACTTAAACTGTGATGAATATTAACTATGAGTTGCAAGATCCACATTATACAACATTATTTCATGAGAATATTGAGTTTCTCAAGTAATGGGGGTGTGCGCTGGTACCAGATGTTGTGACTTGTTTTTTTTTTTTTTTTTTTTAATCTTCAAGATTTTCAACATTGTGGCCAATCATGTGGTTAATAATTGTTGAATTCCTATATTGCCAAAAAAAAGAATTCTCTCTCTCTCTCTCTCTCTCTCTCTCTCTCTCTCTCTCTCTCTCTCTCTCTCTCTCTCTATATATATATATATAATCTATTGGTTTGACTTCTGATAAAAAAACAAAAAGATAAAATGAAATAAAAAGAGATTGAGGCGCAAGTTGTATTACAAAACAAAATGTTTATGGTGTACCAATACTCTCTCTCTCTCTCTCTCTCTCTCTCTCTATATATATATAATCTATTGGTTAATTAGAGGATAGGCTGATCTGACCGATTGAATCGTGAACCATTTCTCCATTCTCTAATTGTTTTGTCTAGCTTCAAAACCGTATTCATATAAAATCAATCATAATCGATAGTTGACCCCATGAGCTTGTCTTATTTTTAAAAGAATTTAAACTTTTTGATCAAATTTTTTAACCTTCCGGTTATGATGGTCTGACTAAACTTAAGAGCTCTTGAACGCTAACCTTGACTTGTTATTTTTGAGCACATTGATTCATTATATTTCTTAATAAACTACTGAATTCGACATAAATCAAAGACTTAAGGTCCATTTGGGGCAGCTTGTGCGTTTTAGGATAAACTGTTTATCTTGAAACGCGGCCCGAGGGCCGGTCGCGACGGTCGACCGACGGTCTGTTTTTAGTGTAAAACCCAAATTTTTAGTGTAAAAACCCAAACGCAGTTTCGGATAATCTGGAGAAACGCGCGAACCAAATAGTACGGCGGCGTTTTGAAAACACGGCTCGCACTTACAAGCTACCCCAAACGGATATGAGATTACTGTAGTAAATGAAATTTCAATCACCATTTTAAATCGACAATCTCCACCCATAATAACTCAAGAGAAAAGAATACTTCAAGCGGCTTGAATAGGTTATCAATTATGATTGAAGCAGATCAAATAATTTCAAGGTAATGACTATTTGTAGAATTCATAAATCCCCCAATAAAATGAAATAAATTTCATGGTATAACATTGGAGCTCAAATTTAAATTTGTCTAATGCTATTTTTACAGTTCTAGAGTATTTTAACACTTATTTTTTCAAATTTTTTGAAGTTTTTTGACATCAAACCCACATCAAAAAAATCTACTTAAAATTATATCTAAAAATATATGAACTTTAATTAAATTTTATGATATTTAAAATTAAAATATTAAATATATAAACATATGAAAATTTTAGGGGCATTTACATACATATCACCCAATTCTTATGTATTTACATATCTAGCACCTAAACTTTAATTTTTACATCCATACCATCCAAATGTTCATATAATATAAAAAATACCAACTAACTTTTAAAAAGTCATGGATAGGGAAGGCGACATATGCAGAGATTGCACTTCAAGTATTATATATGCAATTTAATAAGAATTGAAATGTGAATCTTCCAAAATTTTATGTTTTCTATATAAATCTCTAACGATTTTCAACTTTAACATTGACCTCCAAAGAGTGGCCTGCAACTCATCCCCAATCTCTCTCATAGATAGACTGCGTCCATCCCATCGGAGTAGAAATCATGTGGGGATCCAGCACGATCAGCTTAGCCTCTGACAACCCCTCTCCACCAAACCCTAAATTCCTTCCGATTTCCTTGTAATCCTTCATTTTTCTTGGCTACTAGTTTCAACCACTGGTACGTCACTTTCCCCAAACTTCAACCCTCTTTTTTTCACCATTTCACTGTAATTTTTCCAATCCGAATTAACATATGCTTTAATTCTCTGTAAAGATAGATGGTAAACCTTTCCAATTGTCTCTGGATGAGCTATACCGGAAGATTTCTATGGTCGTCTGGGGCCTGGACACGTGATCATGCGCTTGCGTATTTGCTCGACTCGTGTTTTTACATGGTTGTTTGGTAGATATTTATATCATTTAAGTTTTATGTGGTTGGTTTCGTCCAAGGACTTGCTGTGGAATCCCGGACGGATGTGTTGGTCGATGGCGTGCCCGTAATTGGTGGTAAAATACGTCCCCGTTACTTAATTCATCTCCTCGGTTGGTTTGGTAGTTGAGATCCCTTTTCTTACTCTTTTATTTCGTCAATCTTTGGTACTTTTGTCTATATATGCTTATTGTTCGATATTCATGCTGATCGCTTCTTGAGATCTGTAAGTCTTCCTCATTATTTCTGGTAGGCCGCTGTTGTTTCACAGGAAAGGTAAATTCTCATGATCTCGTTCATTATTCGTAGATCTGTGGTTTTGTTCTCAATGGAATGGCATCCTGTTTTTGGTTTTTAGTTGGCAAGTCGCTGGAGATAGTGTTGTAATGCTTTGGTTGCTTGAAATGAAGGTAGAAAGTTTATTCTGTTGGTAATTATCAGATTGGAGAATCATTTTCTTTCTGGAGGACGAAATAGTTTTATTTTTAGTTTGTGGGAGGAGATAATGTTGTAATGCTCTGGTGGGTTGAGATGAATAATGTTGTGAAGAGTTATTTTCTTTCTGGACCTAGAAGCTGTTTAATTTAGGGTTTGATGGGGGAGATCCTTGGGGAAGTTAGACAATGTTTCCTACTGGGAATTTTTTTTTAGTTTAAATTTTTAAGAGCTGATAATGTTGAAAATTAAGATTAGATTTGTTACATCATTTTGAATGAAAATATAGAGAACTAATTGGCATAATAATTAGAAAAAGTAAGAAAGACAACATGTTTGAAAGAAACTAGATTGAAAGGGAACAAGTCCAAAGGCGGTTGAAAATGTTAGAATCTATTGTATGATTGTATGGACAACTATAGAAATGGGTAGGGTGGGTGGGTTGAGTTGAAAGATAGAATTGTTGGGATGATTATTTTGATTTCGACTTAGTTGTTTATTGTTGAGAGCACTCTAAATCTGACTATTGCTCTTCCTGTTCAAGTTAAATTAGAAGATTTTCTTAACATCATTTTTAGAAAGAGATGGATCCATTATTACATTATATACTCAAGGATGAATGGATATTTATTGATGATGTCTTAAGTATTGATATAGGTTCTAGAAGGAAACACTATGAGAGGATTAATGGTGGGCATAAAATATGAGATAGAATTATAATGGGAGAAGTTATATTTGATTTCACAATAAAATATGGCATTGTTATAATGAATGCTGAATTTAAGAAATGATAGGAGAATTTAGTTAGATTCAAAAGTACGACTTTCAAAGCGCGCGCGCACACACACACCCACACACACACACGCACACACAGATATATATATATATATATATATATATAACCTCCAAATTGCAACCCACTGAGTGGTGTGCTCCCTAAAACTTTAAATGTTTTGTCTTAGCTTCAATATTGAGCACAAAATTTTTGATTAAGTGTATTAGAAGACAAAATGATAAGATCTTAGTTAAAGTGGAATACATTAAGGGAGAATAGTAATGTTATTTAGATAAATTACTATATGAAAATTTTAAGGAAGAAATATTTTTAGAAGAACATAATGAACCCAGCCATAAAGTATATTATAGATTGATTTCAACCAATGAAGTTGAGTTAGTTTCGAAGAAGATGCTTGGAAAGAAAGTCTTTGATCTATATGAGACGCCTCTTAAAATTTGAAAGTTATGGGAGATGTTTGGAAAACATTTGTTTGAATGATTCGATAGATCTAATGCTACTCTATCACCTGATCACAATCCTAGATCAGTTCACATTGCATTCCTTAGATAAATTAAAACTTGTGCATTTCTTGTATTGTTCGATTATATTTTCTTGGGTAAAGCCTACAAAAGACATTATTATCAAAAACTCTAGAAAATAATTCAACGAGGACACAAAAATTTAAACATGATTTTTTGTGCTAATATCAGACTTACGGTCTTACACCGTCAGTATCAATTTCCAAATGGCCTACCAAACATGTAACAGCAACATTGTATTCTTTACAACTTCAACTTCCATGTTTTCAGCAACTCCTGCTAAGATAAGTTAGGAATCAGGCCTACCAGGTCTGTTATGGTTAACCTACGGTTTTGAAGAACTCGTAAATTATGGATAGGGCTATTTTTTGTTATGGTTTCACAGTGAAGCTCTTCAAACCATTGATTTAATGATTCAAGCCACCCTAACGTGCGCTTAGGAGACTTTTTTTCTCAGAGGGAAAGGAAATGTTAATGTGTTCTCATTAAAATCATGTATAGCTAGTTTGAAAGTCTTAAGTGTGTCTGCATGTTGCGAATAGAGTGTGCAAAACTAATGTAATTAAACCTTGCTCGTGGTCATCATAACAGTAATATTTTTGTAAGTGGTTCAGAATAATAGGATAAATTTGCAGTTTAACAAATTTGTAGTGGTCAACTTTTATAAATATATATTGTGATTTGGCCATTTGGTATCTTCTTGGTAATTCTACTTTCCTTATTAAACTGGCACCTTATATCATTTTTTGTTCAACATTTTTCTCAGTTCTTTCATCCATGTTTATTTCTCTGAGGAGAATGTAGCACCGACACTTCTAAAAAAGACTTGTACCCATATCAGACATTTATCGGACACCGACATTCGTCCAACATGCCCGACACTTGTTTGATACTACAAAGCATGTTTGAATTATTTTTTGGGCCGAACACATTTGAGACACGCCAGAATACCACATTGGACATGAGATCAATACAATTTAGAAAAAAACGGGCTATGGGAAGTAAAAAACTGATAAATATACATATGACCCTCATTATACGTCATAGTTAAAGTCCCTACTCTCTCATCATATCAAAGCTCCCGCTAATTGTCATCAAAATCGAGCACTGAAAGTGCATCCAATATTCATTGAAGCCGAGCATTAGTAATTCCCTTTGTTTGTCGAAATCGAGCGTCAAATGTCCATCCTGCACTCGTCTATGACGAGCATTGTATACTTCTTGTTCATTGAAGCCGAACCTGCTCTGTTGAAGCTTAAGCCATGAGTTTTTTTATTGTAACATGAGCAAGAGTTAAACCTGTTCGTTCAAGCCGACCCAAATATCTCGCAAATTTTGTGGCGTTTGCACTGAAGCTTCTATTCGTTGAAGCCAAATGGTGTTAAAATGTTCTTAGTTTTGTTGGTGGTAATTTATAATTTTTTTTACTCTTTAATGTGTTTATAGTTATAAATCTATACTTATTCTAATTTTAAAAGCTAACTTTCAACATAATTAATTAAACAAAGTTTAATCTTAGGATATTTTGAATTTTAGTAGATAAGTAGGAGGAATTTTTTTGAAACATATTATATGTTTAATTTTTGAAAATTAGTTTTTATACACATGAGGTTTTATAATACAAGATAAATTTATAATTTTAAATTTTATTATTGTATACTTTATTTTGTGATATCTTTAATAAAAAATAATGCAAAACTGTATATTTTATATTAACAATTAATTAAATATTAAAACGTGTGCATGAGGTCATGTCCTTTTTTTTTAATTATGTCGTGTCCCCGTATCGTGTTGTATCGTGTCTGTGTTTCCGTATTCGTGTTCGAGCTTCATAGAGAGAATGTTATGTGCTCTTTTGTTTTTTCTTTTAGAATATGAAGTAGAGTTGTGAATTGTCGGGCTTTGACTTTATGAGACTTCTCTAAGTGCTAAACACAAATAGGTGATAACAAACAAAATGATTTTTGAGGATTTTTTTTTTTAGAATTTGTTGTTAAAGTTGGTTGCTTGAATTGTAACAGCCTTAACTCTCACCCATCAAGGTATTGTCCGCTGTGGCCTAGTGGCCTCATGATTTTACTCTATTGGTGTAACTTCCCAGAGGTCACCCATCCTAGTAGTGCTCCCATGAGAGTATGCTTAACTTTAGAGTTTCTAATGAAATCCCATCGTTATGTTTGAGCATTTGGTTTCAATCTACTTTATTTTGTGTTGTTTTTAATAAAGAGTAATGCAAAAAAATATATTTTATATTAACAATTAATTAAATATTAAAATGTGTGCATGAGGTCATGTCTTTTTTTTAATTATGACTTGTCCCCGTATCGTGTTGTGTAGTGTCTGTGTTTCCGTATTCGTGTTCGAGCTTCATAGACAGAATGTTATGTGCTCTTTTTTTTTTTAAGAACATGAAGTATGAGGCTTCTCTAAGTGTTAAACACAAATAGGTGACAATAACATGATTTTTGAGGATTTTTTTTTTTAGAATTTTGTTGTTAAAGCTGGTTGCTTGAATTGTGATAGCCTTAACTATCACGGATCAAGGTATAATCCGCTTTGGCCTAGTGCTTCACGGTTTTACCCTATTGGTGTAACTTCCCTGGAGGTCACTCATCTTAAGAGTGCTCCCAGGAGAGCACGCTTAATTTTGGAGTTTCTAATGAAATCCCACTCACCTTGATGTTTAAGAGTTCGGTTTCAATCTACTTGAGTGGTTTCAATCTACTTGAGTGGTTTCACATGAATATGGTTGATTTTCTTGCTCTCTTCCTAATTTTTCTCTTTTGTACGGCCCAATCAAGCTCCAAACTACTCATCCTTCTCTCTCCTTGTTCTGTCTGTTTAGCCCAAGAAGCCAAGCTCCAATATTCCTTCTTTTCCCATTGTGGTAAGTCCATCAAGGTCATGTTCTAAATAAGCAAGCACTGTCTTGTTCAATGATATGCTGAGTCTAAATTAATTATATGCTTGAACTTTGTTGAGCCTGATTTGAACAGCTATGGTGGTTTTGCATGCATAGAGGGGAACACAATGACGATCTTACAAATACTCGATCATTACATTGCTCATAAAAGGACTATGTTGTATGGATCTTAGTGTTGATTAGTAAGAAGTCATTGTGATTATGGCAGAAAAGAGAATTTAAGGTGGATGTGCGGTGAAGCTATGAAGGATAAAATGTATAATGATTATACAAGGGATTGGAGTAGCATCTACTAAAGATGAACTGATTTAAAAAAAAAAAACTTAGGTGTTTTAAAAATGTACAAATGAGAGTATAAAATGCTCTCATTAATTGGATATGTGAAATTAGCATTAAGGGCTTAGGAAGATCGAAGGAATAGGCTAAACATGACATGAATATAAATTTAAGAGCTTTATGAAAAGTAAGGACTAATATGTCTTGCAACACTCAATAGAAATGAATGACAAATTAGGATTCATAAAATTAACCCCAATTAGTTAAGCTTATGGCTAATCAATGATATAAATGGCTTTCTATACTTATGTTTGACCCAGTTTTCCTTCCAGGTTCTTTATTCTTATTTACTTCTCTTTATAGGTTTATTTATAATTCCCCCCTTGCATTCATTACAATCTTTATGCTGGTTCTATCTTTTCATCATTTTCAGAACCAGAACTTGCTTCTTACATGGCAAAAAGCGCCAAAAATCGCCGCAGACTTCTATCACGCAAGTTCCGATCAACTCCCTATCCCACTTCGTCCTCATACTTCTCCAATTCTTGCGAACCATGTAACCTGAAAAGACCCATAGTCTCAGAAACCAAGGACTGGGAGGAATCCACCTGTTCCGTCTGCATGGAATTCCCACATAATGCCATTCTCCTGCTATGCTCTTCCCACGACAACGGCTGCCGTCCTTACATGTGCGGAACCAGCCATCGCCACTCCAACTGCCTGGAACGATTCAAGAAGGCTTCAACAAAACTTAGATGCACTAATTATGATTCCATGGGGGACAACACAATCAGCCTTTTCGAGCTTTCATGCCCTTTATGTCGAGGGCAGGTGAAAGGATGGACCGTCGTCGAATCCGCTCGCAGGTATCTGAACGATAAGACGAGAAGCTGCATCCAGGACGATTGTTCTTTTGTTGGGACATATAAGGAGCTCAAGAAGCATGTGAAGTCTGATCACCCGTGTGCGAAGCCTCGAGAAATCGACCCTGAGATGGAGGAGAAATGGAGGGCGCTCCAACTTGAGAGCGAACGGCAGGATGTTATAAGCACGATAATGTCGTCAGTGCCGAGATCGGTGGTGTTTGGTGACTATGTTATTGAGATGGCTAATAGTGCAGGCGAGGATGAGGTCGGCGATGAAGATCGCTTCCGGCTTAATAGGAATATATTCTCGGTCTTGCGGGAAGGGGCTCGTCTTGTGAGGCTTCAGTGGGATAATGCCATGCAAGGGATTGGTGGATTTGATGCTCCGGTGAATGGCATCGGTGGTGTCTCGGATGTGGTTACGGCCGGCGGTCAATGGAGAGGTGTGGATGTCTCGAGGGCCGAGAGGCGAAATAGGAGGCGGAGGAGGAGTCGGGGCCCATCTCGGTTGGATGCAAGCTGAAGAACGTCAAGACGTTCGCATGTCTGGACACCGATCGCCATGTCGCCCGTCTTCAAGGTGTATGACAACTTAATATTTTTCTCTATGGGGATCTGCAGAAGTTTAAATAGGAAATGATTTGAATGGCAGGTATTTGTGGTTTATGATCGATTCTGTTTGGATCAAGTTGCTGGTGCACATGGTAGAGTGGGGCATGGTTGATGATTCTTTGTTTAGATGTAGTTCTTTTGTAACTAATGTATATACATTGATTTGGAAATTTAACATTTGGCTTAACATAAATATGTGCACCTTTAATTATTTAACATACATATATGCTGACATTAGTGTTTGCAACTTAATTGTTTCAGATTCAAGTCATATTAAAATCAGCACAGGCCATTTAAGCTGACTTGGATTTGTTGTGGTTTAAATGAACAGGATAAATTTTAGGAGATTGTCATTTAGACCAGTCAATTCCCATGTATTTACATATTTAACATCAAACCTTTCATATTTACATGCATAGCATTCAAAACTTCAAGAAAAATATTTCAAAAATGCCACTGTGATTTACTTTTAAAAGTGTGATACATCTTCTCATATATGGCCATATAGGTTTTTGACACCAAAGTGTTATAAAATTTAAATATAAAAGTTAAGGTGTTAGACATGTACATAAAAAATGTGTTATGTATGTAAATTTCCCTAAAATATAGAAGCTAAACGTGTTATTGTTTTTGCTTAGAATTAGCTTAATTACATAATGGTAGTATAAAACTTGATCACAAAATGAGTGCTGCAATTTAATAATCGTAAAATAAGTTGATTGTAATAGGCGGATTAATTGTTATTTTACACTTGCAATCGGTGAACTAATTGTTTAAGCCTAACCGTTCAGTAATTGTTTTCGCCCCATCAACAATTATAAATTACATCAACCTAGATCTTCGTGTAGGTTATTTTTATTTTTAAAAATCTGTTTATTTAAAGTACTTTTAATATCTTTATGATTTTTAATTTTAATTTTAATTAAATTAACATATTTATTGAAAAGGGATATTTACATAGATACCACATATTCTTGTATTAAAAAATATCGGACACCCAAAATCTAATATTAATATTTATAACACTTTGGCATCATAACCTACTTATGCATGAAAATATATAATTTATTTTTAAAAATTAATAATAGTGACATTAAGTATTAGATATATAAATAGATAAGATTGTAAATGCCACTTTTACAAAACAATCTAAATAATTTTTTAAAAATAATTTCTAGGAAAAATTAAATACATAGCACACTTATTATGAATTTATATATCTCACACCTAAATTTTCATATTTACCTATTGCAGGTAAATACATAGCACACTTGTTATGAATTTATATACATATTGCAGGTGACAAACTGATCCACCCTTTCTCAATTGCAAAAACAATACTGAATTTACAATCTATTTCTCTAACACCACGTGTACACTTACAAAGGGCGAAAAATGCTTCACCCACATAAGAAGAAGGGAAAAAAAAAGGCTAGACACAAAAAAGTAACTGTACAAAACTAATCACAAAGTAAAAATGAAAAGAATAAATTGAATAAAAATGCAAAATTGACATACTACCGATCAAGAAGCATACTTTACATGCAGAGTGGTTGCAGACAAGCCCGAACGCATCGCCTTCAGCAGCGTCACAAATCTCATCATATAATCTTCAGAGAACCACTTCAGTTTCCACGTACAACTCCTTCGATTCTTTTGTTGATGATTCCCTCTCTTATTATCCTCCAAAAATATGTTTCCATGAGGAACATTTTCTGCAGTCAAAGTCAAAACTTTGATATCCTCTGCTGATTCTATGACCTGAAAAGAGTTTTCGAAATAATAATCATGACCTGTTATTTATAAATTTCAATATTGAAGTTCTAATAATAGTAAAATAATAATAGGAGATTTACACATCCAATATTTTCATACGTAACACTCGACTCTTTGACATTGCACTAAAGATATTACAGTTACTAACATTTTAGAGTGAAATTTACATTTTCATGGATAAGTTTTGGCGTCATCATGACGGTAATGTGTTATAAATATAAATATGAAAACTTAGGTCTTAGATATATAAATACATAAAAATTGTGTGGCATCTATGTAAATTTTCCATAAATTTGAAAACTGCTAGTCATTCAATGTAACATTCACAATAAAGAAATAGGAACAAGAAAAAAAATTACCACTTCCAATATGTTTTTTATGGGGCAGATTGAATCAAGAGAGTAATAAGGTGGGGTTCCAAGACAATCCCACGATGAGCCAAATTGGATGAGGTTCTCACTGCATATAATAACATACCCTTCAATTACAAACAAGGATCTCGACAGCCATGATTTTCCTGTTCAATAAAAAAATAATAACTTTTATGTAATCGGTGCAATATGAATGATAACAGAAACATAACATTAAAAAATAAAAACGAGCAGCATCAATGAGATCTTAAATTTTTAGGCCCATAGAAGTTAATTTAACAATCTTCTACGTTACCACTGCTCGGCATACAGACGGATAGAAGTGATAAGAGATAATGATATTTTTTAAATGGAAAACTCAAAATAGGAAAAAGAATCACAGGATTTTGCCCATGCAAAGTTCTCCAATATATAATTAAAGTTACATAATTCACTTTTCTAGCCAACTAACGACAATAGGATTATAATACTCTATCACTTTGTTGTTATAATAGGGGTTGTTGGATGATAATATCAATTAAGTAATATTGGTTAGATAAAAATAGCCAAGATGTATTAATCAGGTAACAATAACCTGGAGATAATAATCAAACAACAACGGACGTATGATAATATTCGGGCTACAATAGTGGTTGGTGATAATCAGCAATCATTGCTAGTCGCTGACTTGTAAGTTTTTTATGTTTAGATTTGTCTCTAACCTCACTCTTTTTCTACCTTTCATATGGATAATTGGGAGCTGTTTATAATTTTTGAGAAAGACGTTTTGATAAATTTAACCAAAATTTCAAAACACTCTATTAGGCGGTCCATTTTAATTCCTTTGGGTCATAAGACTATTCTTTCAAACATTTAGGTGCCTTTATGGTCTTAATATTTAATGATTGTAAAGTTTTTATTTACTCTCAATGTGTTGTTCTACTATGCTATAATCATATCAAATTTAAAAATTGTTTAACCGTTCAATTAATATTTTAGAACTTTTAAATATATTTCAAGTGTTTGTTCCGGGCTCATTTTGACTCAAATTAAATCACTTTTGATGTTGTTGGGTTGCTACTGTCAAGATGTTAACTTTGACTATTAATTTGCTGAAATCAGAGCTCAATTGTTCTTATATTTGACTCTTGAAGTTGCATAATTCAAAATAGATTCATGACTGATCATGTAATTTTTTTGATGCTCCATCAAATCTGCTTCGACTTAAGCGGAAGCATTGAAAATATAAAATGTATAGTCCTATGTAAAGTGGCTGTAATTATTTAATTTTTTTTTAGCATTCATTAAGTGGCAGTTGATGTTCTCCCCTCAAAATATCTCTTTCTCACGTTGGACAAGAAAAATACATTTGTTTCTTTTCTCCTCATAATCATTTAGCAACACATTATATAGTTATTATAATGTAACGTCACATTCATTTAACAAAAAAACATTTTTTTCTCACCAATAAAGAAAAAAAAAAACTCATACCTCAAATTACACTTGTTAGGTAAGACAATGACATTTCAATCACATATACACCCTTTTATATGAATACGGATATAACAAAAAATAAGACAAATTAATTCTTCAGAATATAAGGCATGATCATATGTTAAAAACATACCTTCGAAATACATAAAGTTCATATCAAAACTTAAGGAAAAATGCATCCAAAATCCAAATAAACTTCAAAATCATAGTTCTCATCAACTCAACAAATTTTCAAATCAAACATAATAAATCATAATTTTCATAATTAATGCAATATAATTTTTATGAAATTCATGCCCAATACATCCATGAAATGCCAAGAACACAAAAAAGTGCTCAAAGCTTTCCAACAAATTGTCAATATTTTATAAACTTATAAAAAAAAAAATAATAAACGCCAAATGACACGTCTTAATATATTCCTTTAGTGTTCAAGCAAAGGACAACATGCACCGTGATTACATTATCAAGTCCCTTCGAACATTTAGACATAAACACCAACGAAAAATATAATAAACGAAAGGTTTATTATATTTTACTTTTTTATTAGTTATCATTGTAGCATATAAATATGGTTTATTATGCTTAGAATTAGGATATGCATGAGATTGTTGTCTTGAGACTTAGGGTTAGAGTTTGAGAGAGATTGCCCACCGTCGGATTTTAGGTGTTAGAGTTAGGGTTTGGGAGAGATTGTCTATCTCTTGAATTGTAGGTGTTTATTTTTATGTATTCGGTTTTTCTTGTTTTGTTTTGACGAAATAAATTGTTTGCCCTATTTTATGTGAAAAATCATTTTGGTTTGTGTCACTACCACAAATATTTCACATCAATAAAAATCATGTAGTGAGAAATGATTATTTGTCCTAAAAAATACCATAAAAAACTACAATCTTAGTCGCTTCAATGAAATATAAGTTCATTTCAATTCTTACAATCCAACCAATGGCAGGACTCATGCTACATTGATTTACAGAGACAACAAAGTAGCAATACTTCCACACAACTGTTAGATTGCTTTAAGATGCTTGAGGACCACTACAATCAAATTCAAAAAATCCAATACTGATCTTGAAATATCAATTTAAATGTGGTAATCCAGTTCAGATGACACTTGACACCAAACTGATTCTGTCTCTGGCAATTGAAATCTAAAAAGCCTAAAATCTCTAACTATTCATTCTGTACACCCAATAACAAAAAAGTGTAACACCGATCTCAAAGACAAAGTGTGTCGATTATAAATTATTTGATTGATCGAAAGATCAAAAATTATTTGATTGATCGAAAGATCAAAAAAATCTAACACCACAACTAGGATATTTTATACAACAAGGATATTGGGGATGAAGTATCTCCTATAAGCAATATTTGTATTATCAAAGGAATGAAACTACCTGTAATAGCCCAAACTCTCACCCATCAAAGATATTGTTTGCTTTGGCCTAATGGCCTCACGGTTTTGCCCAAATGGTATAACTTTCAGGAGGTCACCCATCCCAGGAGTGCTCTCATACAAGCATGCTTAACTTTGGAGTTTTTGTCAAAATTTCACCGTTACACCAAAAAGTGCTTTAAATGTTTAAGAGTTTGGCTTCATCTACTTAAGGGGTTTCACAATCTCTCCCATTTAAGTAATTGATGTCTTCATCTGTACTCTAAATCCAGAATCATTCACAGGCAGATAGGACTCTAGGGGTGACCGCTAAAGATTCAATAGGTGGCTCCAATTATGTAGCTCTTTGTCCCATCTTTGGTTCAAGAGGTGGCTCTCATGGCATAGCAATTTGTTCTATATGACACTTAGTTTTCATCTTTAGACTAGTGCAATGCTCTGATACCATTTTTAATAATCCAAACACTCAATCATCAAGATATTGTCTACTTTGGCATAATGGTGGCCACACATTTTTGGTGCAACCTCCCAAGTGGTCACCCATCTTAGGAGTTCTCTCATACGAGAATGCTTAACTTTGTAGTTTCTACCGAAATTTCAATGCTACACAAAAGGTGCTTCGATGTTAAGAGTTTGGCTTAATTCTACTTGAGGGGTTTACACTACCCTTTGCCCTAACGGATATAAATAATCCCTCCATGGAAAAAAAAAAAAGGAAAAAAAAAGCTTCAAACTATTGAAATCATTTCAATTTTCTAAAATTTCTTATAAAAAATGGTTTCGTTTTCATTCTTAAGTATACAATCATGCTTCCTAACTTATGCATTGGAGTGAATCCAAAAGAAACATTCCTCAGAGCAATCTCACATTTAACTTCGGTTGAGTGTAAAAGAAGTGAGCAATCACTGTAAACTGCATACATTGATGATTTTTGTTCGATTCAAACCATATCCCGCCAGCAATAATTTGTTGTATGTGGAAAAATTTCCCACTCATATAGATTGATTCCAAGTTGCGATCTTTAGAGACAGGAATCTCAGAACTCCCTATCTAAAGTTTATCACTTCGTGGACAACCGATGCAACAATTGAAATGCTCTTCCTTGCCTTCAACAAGAATCCACTCAATTAACCAGTTACTGCGAAACCAAATATATGGTTTTGCCTTTAATTTCGTCATTTCTCTTGAGGACCTCTCCTCTACAAATACCATCAACCTCTCTTATTTGATTTGAGAGTCAAAGTGTCTTTAGAGAAAACATTCCTCAATGTAGGCTCGTTTATTTATTTGGTTACATGTGCACAAGAATGAGTGATCGATTTAAATAACATACCCTTGAGATCTCTACGACTTCAGATCATTTCAAGCATGCAACAAACTTGGATCAGGCAAACTTACAAGTAAAGCTACATATAAAAAATACATAATCAATAAACGTAGTTACATTCGTAAAAAATGACAGCATACCATTGCATTTGTCTTTCCAGAGAAGAATCATCGAGTAGAAATATATTCCTCCACTCAAACTTCCAGAGATACATTTCTCTAGTAAGTCAGACTGAACTTGTTCCCAACTGCCAGCCAAAATTACCAAAGCCAACCAATCAGAAAAGCTTGCAATAACTCGAAATAAAATTATATAAATTATTAGAAGTGATGATGTCAATGATATTCCCATTTCAAACTAGTAAAATATGAGGGAAGAGTTCACCTTTTTAAAGAACATTTAGCAGTTGATGTGCTTGAATCATATACTTGTAATAGGTTAAATAAATCTTTAGATATATCAACTGTTCTTGTTAAGAACAAATGTGTTGCATCCCCCTGCATACGTACCCTGGGTAAAAAAGTGAAATCCTCATTTAGTAAAACTGAGAACTTTATAAAGATGAATAGCTAAGCCACAAACCTCAAAGCTTGCAGTCCAAGGCCTGCAACAACTTCCCTAATTTCACCAAGCCCGTAGCATCCTGGAACTCTAGAAACAATATCTACAAAAGAACTACATGAAATTAAATGACTCAAGCTCTAGGGGAAATTTGTAATTCATCAGAAAAAGATAATGCAAAAAATGGTACAATTGAAATGAGAAATTAAACCGGAAATAATCTTACCTAACCCATCATCTGTTTTATCAAGTAGTAGCATATATAATTTGTTCTTACAGGTCCTCAGTAAAGCTGCTTCACTGCACAAAATCGATGAAGAATCTTGAAGATCGACTAGAAAATTGCAAGAAAAAATCAATGATTACAGAGTGATCAAGCATGGCAAAAAGGCAACCAAAATGACTGGCATTTGAACTGTAGTGACATATCCTTTTAAATCAAATTCACGACAAAGGAAAGAAAATATCTTATATGCTTCATGCCATACATTTGTGAAAATTACTTTGGAAAAGATTTCCCAGATAAACTTCAAGAAAAAAAAAAAGAAACAAAAAATTACCTGATGGAATAGTTTGCTATGGCTATATATATATGTATATATATATATAGTGCAACACATTTTCAGTAGGATTAAAGCTATTGCAAAGTAGAGAATCAATTGATCACAAGTTCAGTAGAATTTAAACTATTGCTATTATAACAAACACTGCAAATCTCCCCTCCCTTATCAAAGTATTTTGACCATATAATTTATTCAGGACAAGCACATACAACACTATCTGCAGTTATTTGGGGATAACAGAGTACGCATGAGTAGGCGGACGTGGTAAATGTTGAAGTTGTTTCTCAGGTTCCTGATTATGTGTTTCAGCCAAAAGCCAATGATAATTAAAAAGCATAAATGAGGCTGTAGCAGGTCATATCTTTTGTATTTGTTGATATTTTTGCCGTAGCATAAAAACGGAGGTTTGCATCTAAATGTAAGAGACCGATAGATGCAATATTTTTGCCATAGCTATATTACCATGGATATGCATATTGCTGTGGGATATTAAGGGTGCCAAAACTATAAAATAAAGAGAGAGAAAATAAGAGAGAATGAAATTAGAAAATTTTGGCAGCAATCTCACTGTCAGAAGATTATTCTTTCAATAAACTTTTGAAATGGGCAATTTCTAGTTTTGGCTTAATCATTTCTATAATGTTTCCCTTGAATCATTTTCTCTCATACCTGCTTGGAAAGATTTTGGAATTTGCTTTTATAATTAAACTGGGTATCCTTGGGGCAAGAGTATTTTTTCATTCCTCCTTTATTTGTAAACTTTCGCATCTTCCCAACAGTGGATCAAGTCCTCTTTCTTCTCACATATATGGTAGCTTATTTAGTAGAACCATATAGATGTGGGTGCTTTCTTATAGCTCATAATCACTTTAGCGTGTGTTCATTGTATTCACTCATGATAAGTGCTTCTGCAATAACATAAGTTCAGTTTCCATGTCCCACACTGTACGGTGATCTTCCAAACAGCCACTAAATATGTCAATTAGTGTGAATTCAAGACACAGTTGAACTATTTACTAACAACCATGATTCAAATGGTTAGAGTAGTAATTTTAAAATAAGTGTTGGTCCCTCAAAGGTATTATGTTTCAATGCTGCTAAACGGAAAAAGGCAGATGCATTAATTATTTTAAAATAAGAGCTTTCTATCATGAACTACAAAGTCAAATAAGGAAAAATTTGTAAACCAGAGCATCATTTTTGCAGTAGGAAGAAATCAGATAAATTCTATTTCACAACATAGGCGAGAACTGAAATTTTTAGTTAAACTAGTCACTGAAGTACAGAAAGTGCAATAAGGCAGTGGCCGCGGTACTAGCAATATTTGTAGAGCTACTCAACAAACATGACTTGCTGAAAGTAAATGAAGTAATTTTTTTTTATAAAGCTAGATTGGGTTGATGTTCTCAAGATATGTTGTGATTTATATTGAGGACTATTAACATGAAAATTTGAATTTCAAAGGAGGCAACAGGGCCATGATTTGTTAAATACAGAAAAGAATTCCTGTGTAGATCATCATTAATGAAATATTAAAAAGTATAACATAAACTTTTTTACAATAAATTGGGACAAATGCAAAAAAATTAGAATCCCAAAATTTTGGTATTAGTCTGATTTTAATGTTTTTTATCTAACCACATCCTATGAACAATCAACTAAAGCTTTGGATTCTTTTATTTCTCAAACACGACCTCCTAGTTCCATCAAATAAATCCACAGCATATTTTGTAAGCAATCATACTGATCTTGCTCATAAAGCTATTAATGGTGAAGAAATTGTGTCCAATGTTATCGCGGACATAGGAGAAAACTATTGAGGTGAGGAAGCTAACATTTGATAATTCATGGACATTTTTATAAAGAACTAATCGTCATGCCAAGCTCTATTGGTTAATATTGACTAACAGTTGATAAAGTCAATTTTTTTAAGCCAAACAAAATTCATGTGAGACTATAGTTCTCCTTTAGTTGAGACTTCATTCTAGTATTTTAGCAACTCCTTTAGTTATAGCCTTCCTGCAGCTAATTTATTTTCGATTATCAAGGGTTTTTTTGTTTCATTCGGCTGCCCTAATTCCCATTATTGTGGCTCTTATGTTACTTGAATTTGTGAATGTTATGCTCCTTTGTTTAATGGTTCCTCCTGTATTTCCTACGGTTGGTTTTGTCCTTTTATTATAAAACCATTTAAATAATTAATTACAACTTCCAGTTAGATGGCTCCTCTTATGGTTCTCGTGGAAGGTTGATGGTTCCAATAGAGTTTGACTTCATTTATTGGATTTATGTTGAGTGGATCCTAAGGCTTATATTTATGGTTAAAGAAACTAATTGTGAGACTGCAAGAAGTGAATGTAGGCAATGGACTCTTCAGTTCTGTTCTATAACTACTTTCCTTGAACTATTTGTTTGTTCCCTATGCCATTTCATCAGACCTAAAATAACACTGCATGATGCATATGTAAAAATAGATTGTGCTGAATAAAAATTTGCTTTGGATGCGCAACTCTATTTCTTTTGGAATTGAACTCCTTGATCAAGTAAGACATTGGAACTTCAAATCCTATGAGAGGTCTCCTTATACAAACATAAAGTTTCCTTATCTTGCAAGTTTTTCTCCTTTTCTTACTTTCCCTCTTAATTAATTTTTTATTTATTAAAAGTATTAATGAAGTTCATCATAACTGCTACATTCTAATTTTATTTCTTTTGCCTAAAATTTCAATTATTTGGGTTGTTTTCCTGATCCCTAACTTCATATCAATAATTTCTAATAAAAGGTCATAAGTCGTTTTTTTGAATTGAATTTTATCATTTTGCCAATCTTTGTTGAAGGAGAAAATAGTTGATCTTAGATTAATAGCTTGTACCTTAGGAAAATTGCATGTTTAATGAATTATTTTATTTTATTTTTTATTTGCAGCAAAATATACATTGGATGTTAGATCGATAAAAACAATCCCAGACCCTAAAATATTCTTCACCAAGTGCCAATACTACTTTGGCTCTAAAAACAATGGATAACGAATAAAAAGATGCAATCAACTTTTAAAATTCAAAAAGTTAAAGTTAGAAACTAATATGCTTTGGTAAAAAGATTCCATGAATTGGTATGCTTGCTGCTTTGTGTAGCAATGTTATTTTGGGTGCATCTAAATCTACGATGCTAGTTAGAAATGCATAAAAAAAATCATGGATCAACAAAAGTACTTCAACTAGTGCCAATACTAGCTTGGCACTAATCAAAATTATCTGAATCTTTTTCTTAAATTATAAAAATATAATAATTGATAAAGGTAAAAAGTCGCAATAAACTATTCAACTTAAACAAGTTACGATGGAATCACCTCTCATACGAAACTAATCCATGCTGGTATATGCATCCACAAAAAACAATTTGTTGACATGTTTCAGAAGCTTCAGAATCCGCAATATTTGAGTTGAATAAATCCTTTATATAATCACTCCGCTTGTTTTGAACAAATTTGAAAACAGCAACTGTTTCTGCTCCATATTTCTGTCGCAGAACTTCATCATTCAACCTACCAGAACTGAGACCAATTGCACAACAGCTTGACTGGCCCTGCTCAACTCTGTGAGATTCCACATCTCCATTAACCTTTTCGCATTCTGATCGACTATTACATGCCAACAAGTTCCCAAAAAGAGAAACAAGTCCCCTCTTAAGTTGTTGTTTACAACTTATTCCCTCAATATCTCCAGCACCTTGATTTAGATGTGGGTTAGTGTAGCAATCAGCAGCGTCTACATGATTGTTTATGGATGATGCTTCTTCACTACAACCATTAAAAAGTTTGGTACGATGCTCACACAAAGATATAGTTCTTTCCGAGGGATATGATTCTTTATGCTCATTCCCAATAGGCCTATTAACATGAAAGGCCATAAGGTTTGAAGACTCCAAGGCAGAACCTTGAATACATGACAAATCATTTTCACTCATTGATATACCGACTACACTTAATTCATCATCACTACAGCTGGTATCACTATCTGACAATTCCTCAGAATGAGACTCAGTTGAAAGTTGTAGGAATTCTTCCTCTAGATCAAGACGACGATGTAACATGTCCTGCCGATATTGCGGTGGTGACCCAGGATATATGGAGGATGAGTGGGATCCAATAATCTCATCAATTGCAGTCAATGACCCAGAGTTAATTGCTAGCTCTGAACATTCACTTCCACCAACTGCTGAATAATTGATACTTGACTTGTCAATTTCTGCTAAAGGAGAAAGATTTTCTGGATTCCTGAAATCATCCTCCATCTGATCTTGCTCTGAAATGACTTCCTGAGATCTTAAACCAGTTGCAAAACATTTTTCATCATTTTCCACAGGTGTTATACTATTTTTATCAAAAATACCAGTATCAGAAATATTGGAATACGCTAACCTTGTCGGATTGTTAGCATAATGCGAGCTCTCTCCGAATTTTGTGTCTGTGAATGGTTCCCTATTTTGCTCACTCTGAGCATCTAGTTTAAAATCTGTCTGTTGATTTCTGTCAGTTATGACTTCAGAGCACTGATTCATCCAATCCTTGAAGTCTCGCAGCCAAAGAACGGATCTTTCCTTTTTCATTTGTTCGGCTTTATTCATCAGAACAAGTATTTTTGACTCATCATCTGAGATGGCAGTCTCATCCTTCCTCAGCACATCACTCTCACAAGACAATGAATCTTGTTCAATACCTTCCACGCAATGAAGCCCCCTCTGCTCTTCAACCTCAATATTTGCTAAACGAGAATATTTTTTCTGCGAAAGTGAGCATAAAGCTATAATAGATTCAATTTCTGAATTGTCATGAAAATGCATATGAAACTGGGAAAGGATGCACTTGAGAAAATGAATTACAACAAGATGAATTTAACAGTAGCAAACCAACATATTTTATCTTCCATTTTTATGTTATATGTTTTGCCATTAAGCAAAGGAATATAACTCTCTGGTTACAGCAAATACAGGATAAGAATAACAATTTTGAAGAGATAAAATACAACATGCTAGTTATAGGAAAAACGCTTACTTTGTTTGAATGTGCGCTGCTAAAATCTTCTACAGTATGATCTTCTGCTGGAAAATAAAATCCAAAAGCGGGAGGTTGCTTCTTTCTGCTTGTATAAATGATGTGTCTTTCCCAGTACTCTTTTGTGCTGATACTGTTATCATCTAATATCAACTGAAAATTAAAAAAATGACAAAAAAAACAGAAATTAGAATTACAAAACTAAAGATTTTTATATATGCCAAGCAACCAACTATTTGCACAATTGAGCTCCAAGGGTGGTCTTAGCCTAATAGTTAGCTAAGGAAAACTACTTTCATTAAGAGAGCAAGGTATGATCAATCTGTTACAAAAAGATCAACTTACACTTTCTGGATGAGAGAAGAAACTAAAAACGTATGCTCGATACCACCGAGCATAGCATATAGGGTTTCCCTCCAACCATAACTTCTGGAGACAAGGAAGGTTTGCAAGGATCTCCATCTCTGAGAAACTGGAAATGAGATTGCAGGAAAGATCGAGACCTTCAACAGACTTCAGGTTTTCTAACCCTCGCAACGTAGTTAAGACATTATTCCTTAAAACAAGCTTAACTATTGGACATGAAACCTGCAATGCACACAAGTAAACATAGTGGACCATTACAAATTATATAGTTGCAAGCATATTAAGGGTTAATAGAAGGAAAAGTCAAGAAACTACAAAAATAGTCTACAAAATATAAAATGAAACAGCTTAATATCCGCAACTCCCAAAACACAACTAAAAATAGAGCATAATCATAAATAAGATATATTTGGTTTCTGGCAAAACAATTGGAAAATCATAGTTTGAGGATGGTCAGAATGCAAACTATTTCACAATCAAAGATTCAGGTTAATGCTTGTCCTCAGTATTGTGTCTCATGACATAAAAGTAGACTAATGAACAATCAACTGAATAAGAGGTATCAGGCTGCGCATGGGGATGCATGCCTACCCCTTTTAAAAAATATACTTGTCAAATTTAAAAAACAGAAACCTGAAGTCCATTGAAAATGAATCATAGGAATTTTCCAAACAACACATAAAATGGATGCAAAATTTCAGATTTTATTTTTAATGGAATATGAATGAGTTTATGAGCTTAATTTTTGAAGGTAAATCTAGAAATTGTGCCACAAATTCTAATCTGTCAAGTGTCTTGATAAACACTACCATTCGATTCAAAACAGATAGCCCGCAACGGCTGACTTACGGAACCTATTGCTAATTAATATGTGGGTTTTTTGTTCTAAATTATAATAGGTGAAACAGACAACCTATTGTTTTGATAAATTTTCATTTTTATTAATTTGAAATACATATTTTGTGATTTAAATAAATATTAAATATGTGTAGAATTAATAAGTGCTCCTGACAAGGAGACATAAATGCCCATCTAATGCTTGAGCTGCCAACACCATTCAAAAGTTGATAGCCTGGGCAAAAGGTGCCAGAAAAGAATTAGATCTATCATTTATAAACTAATTTTAAGTATAATGAATATTTTCTTAGTGTAAAGTGATAATCATTACACTAAACCTTAGTGAGGAAAATCAGGTTGATCTAGTTAGTCAGTTCTTTGCTAAACATACACTGATGTAGGTGTATATTTGTGCGATAAGGATTCTTCATATTTGGTGGCCTGTATTCAAGTTTTATAAAGAAAGCGTCTGTTTAAAGGTTTAAACAGTTGCTAATGGATTCGCATTATGATTTTGCAATTACCGATTTCTCACATGATTGAATAGCTTTAGCATGACATCTAATAAATTAAAAGTTCTTCTATTTTTTTTGGTGGCGGGTTTTAATTAGAAAGTAATCCTATATATCAGCTGCTACATCATTTTCTTAAATCCAATATCCATTTAGAGTATTAAAACCACTTCACTTCATACAGATATCTTGTTAGATTAGATTTTGATACAGTATGAAGCCATACCAGTATTAGTTGAGCTCACTTGACATTGCAACTAGCTATGCTTAGTTCTAAAAACTTCTAGTTAATCTAATCTTATCTGTTAGAGCTTAGTTTAAAATAAACTCGCTAAGGTCAAGCTGTCTTAGCTGGCATTTCTTTGTTCAATAATAGCCCTAAAGTAGATATAAACGCATAGAAAGAGCATGGAAACAAGATATGTTTATTAATTTCAAAATTGACTACCCAAAGTATGTCCTAAAAATCAACATTCCAAGTCATTTTTAGAGCTAAAAATAGATTGTCGATTTTCAAAGATATGTTACTAAAGGAGCTCAAGGAGAATTTCAAGTTGAACAACACTTGATGAGGAATCAAATTACCAATAAAATGTGTTCGCTAAAGAGATTCTTAAAGGGTCTAGAAATAGATCAAAAATAAAAGAAAAGTTGATGGTGAAGTAAGGAGATAAAAAAATATAGTAAAAAGGTGAATCGAGTTTTTAATTTTTGATGGTTTAATATATAATAACTGAAGAAAACTTAAGCACAACGATGAGAATGGCAAGTAGTGCAAAGAAATATCATAAATTTTCGTGATTAATGTGCTTGGGTATGTATTAAAAAGGAGAAATAAACATATGAACAATAAAAAAAGATAGAGAATATATAAAGATTTCGAAGATCACAAGATCTTAGGTGAAGATGACGGAATCAAGGAAATATAAAAATACTTTTTATTAAAGAATTCATTAACTATAAATATTTATTGAAAAGCTAAGGAAGAGCAAAACAAATATTAAAAAAACAATATAAATTAAAAAAAGGCGAATTTACCTTTGTTTTGAAGAATATGTATGAAGGTTAATTTATGAGTATAACAAGATACCAATTAGATTTGCATAAATATATGAGATATTAGAGTAATATGTTTAGTATAAGTCTTTTTAAGGAAATCTTAAAAATCTAGGAAGGTCAAATGCTGAAGAAAAAAGCATTTTGATACATATTTCTAAGAACAAAAGAGATATACATAAATGTAGTGACTGAAACGAAACTAACTTTGAGTCTATCAATGAGGCATCGAGAAATGCAAAATGGATGAAGAACGAAAAAAAACATATTGAAATCAAAGAAATAGCCCATGTTCATGCCATAAAATTTACATGGGCAGTTGCTTTTCTGCTAAAGCTTTTATTAATACAAAAAATATTGCAGCCAATAAAAGGTCATGTATATGGTTTTTATTGATCTTGAAATGATATTGAGGTGAGTACCATGAAAATATAGCTAATAAGAACTTTAGGAGAAAATGAGTGTGTTAAAAGCAAATTGAAGTCTTGAAGAAATAATTGATGGTGCAGCGACTTGTGTTAGAAATAGTTATGGAATGACCAAATAAATTACAACAATTTCATATGACTATTGATGATGGAAATACTTGCATCAAATAATCGGGTTAAATTATCAAGACATTGGAAGACATTTATTTTGATTTTATTATATTTTATTTTAAATTATCAAATAAGCAAGTTAATCAAACAAGTGTGCTTTCCCTAATCATGAAGTCATAAAGGAAGTGTGTCTACTGTAAAAGTTTCCCACAAAAGTTTTCAACACAAGTCAAATTAGTACTATGTCATAATCAATGTTTTAAAAAGCGAGGGTCATGAGCGGGGTGTTTTGGCTGTTAAATGGCGAGGCGTGAGCCACAAAGCGCCCGACATAAGCCCCACTGTATAAAAGAAATATAAGGATTTAGAGATAAAAATAAGAACTTATACTCATTCGATTTCAAAACAAATCTTCTAGGACTAAAATCTTCAAGATATTGACATAAATCCACCACAAAAAATAAAAACATATAAAAATAAGTAAACACGTTTAAGCTAAAAAAATAAACTAATTGTGCTCAATTGATCTCAATCCTTGAATATCATTCATTCTTTAAGTTCATCCTTAAAATCATTTTCTTTTTCTTCACCAATAGTTGTGTCCAAATCACAACTATGTCCTTCATATTGTCTACATTCATTCATCACTTCCTTAAAGTCATCATCATGCTCAGTCTCATATGCATTCACAATTTGTTTCTCCTTATAATTGCTACCTATATTATAAAAATAAATAAAATGATATTCATAAATATTTAAGATCTTTTTTATAAGAATATGTAATTATGAAAAGGACAATTAAAAATAAATATGAAACTTGTTTTTTCATTCAACTACTCTTTTCTATGAAAATATGTTATAAAAATATTTTTTTATTGTGTAAGATTTTGTGATTCTACATTAGCATTAGTTATGGGCACATTTCTAATTACATCAATATCAAATACATGTTCTTGATTCACACAAGAAGTTTCATGTGGTAGCATTGAATCTTCTTTCCATTATAAAACCTGCATCCCTACGTATCTATTTCAGCGAAACTGCGGGCCTCTCAGGAAAGAGGTCTAGATCGCACGAAGGGTGTGAAACTGCAGGCCTTGAGGCTACAAAAAAGATATCTTCATACGCGATGGTGATGGGTGCGAAATTGCGAGCTGATCCTGTGTATGATTGAGAAGTTGAAGGAAAGGGAGGAGGTGGCTAGATCCCGCAGCACTTTCTGCGGTTGTTTCTTTAGCTTACGGAAGACTGCAAGAGATGATGAGGGAGATTGTGGGAGACTGTGGAAGAGACAAAGTTGCGATTTGGGTAGGTCTAAAAAATTGCACAGCTATGGCTTTTAATTTCTTTTTAATTAGCTCGCAAGTGAGGCGTACACACCCCGTAAAGTGCAAAACAAGTTCATGGACATAAAAGGCGTGTCAAGAAGTACGTCCCATGAGTTATTACACCCTCATTAAGGTGGGGTATGGTGCCACACACCTCGCCTAGTGACACGCCCCAATAATGTATTTTAAAACACTAGTCATAATTTTAAAAAATAAAGCAAAAAAAAAAAACAAATGAGGTCTCAATGAATCACATTCTCATCCAAAAAAGAAAACAACATATCCCATGTTCGTATAATATTTGACATCCACTTCAATCTTCCATCAGGCTTGTTTATGATTTTATCCAACCAAAAAATACCCTCTAGTTTTGGGTTTCTTTTTGTAAGATGATGCATTATAATTAGTTTTGATTTATGTCCTCATAATATAATTAATAAGGTCTACACTATTAACGAATGATTAATAAAAAAAATTTGCTAACAACTGATTTTATGTCATTATGGGATTCTCTATTGATCTTTGGAATCTCTCGCCCTTTCATTGTATAAGCCTTATTCCCTATAATATTCATATTCACGAAGTTCTTTTTCCTCCAACATCTTTCATCTACAATCATCCAAGATCATTAATAAATAAATACAACTTAAATAAACTCACTAGGAAATCACAATTTACAGATCATAATGTTGCCAATAGCGCACCACAAAGTCACAGTGTTCACTGAAATAAAACACTGCACGACATATTCATTTTGTAGTGGTTTAAAGTGCAACTATTTAAAGTGACCAAATGAAGCCTAATTTGATTGCAAGGATTAAGAATTTGTTCCTATGTCATTAAATTGGTAACAAATACAATTTTGAGTTAAAATAATTAATAAAAAAACTTTTCTTGCAATGAAACGATAATACATGATTTTGTTAATATTAAAAAGACATTTAACTGAGTAAATCTTGACAACATATCAAATAAACATAAAGAGAAAGAGATATCTCAATAGTTAATGTTAAGTTTTGTTTAATGGTGCAATGGCTAGTTTTTAGAAATATCGAATATTGGCCAAACAATTTCTAAGAAAATTAGAGTTATATTCATAGTCAAACTTTACCCTTTTTTTTAATTAAACTATTGGTAATGGAGATGCTTTTATCAAATAGTCGAGTCAAAAATTCTTTTTAAGATGGCAATTCTAATGATTGAGATATCTTTTGGTAAGCATTATGCAATGTTGTAATTGCAAAATAAAATAATAGACTTCATAGAGATAAATAAGTTGATCTACAAGTGTACTACGCATAGTAATGGAGTTATAGAGGAGCATGTATAGTATAGCACTTCTATCTAGAATTTTCAGAAGAAATCAAAATTTTTCTACATAGAGTTTTTGAAAAAAAAAAAACAACTAAAAAATACTATTAAAGGGAAACTTTAACAAACCACAACACCATATAGACACACAACCTCATCAACTATACAAAATTTCATGTCCAGTGATGTTATATTACTCAATATCTACTTCTATCTTTCATTAAGATTGCTTCTTTATAATTTCATCAAGCCAAATAATGACTTCTAGTTTTGGATTTTGCTTCAATAGATGGTTCATTATAAATAGTTCTAAATAAGGTCCTCGTTGAGCCAATATATAAGTCCACACTATCACTGAATGATTACTAAAAAAAATTTTCATGCATTTGCCTTAGTCTCCATGTGGGATTCTCTCTCTTTCTGATCTCTCCACCTTTCATTGAAAATTCCTTTATTCTCACCCTATGGTATATTCATGATTTATTTTTTTCCTGCAATTTCGTTCATTTATAATTATCCAAGATCATGGGTAAAAAAATTGCAACTTGAACAATCTCACTAGGAAACCGTTACAATGGCATATCGCATTTCCAAATCACTGATGATATCAAAAGCACGCCAAGGAGCTATGGAGTGCGCTAAAATGAAATGATGCACAACACATATACGTTGCAAAAGTATTCTGAAAAAATAATTTGAAGTAGCCTAGTGAAATCAAGTTTGATGTGCAAGCACTAACAAAGCACATTTTCCACCTCTTTCTTGCAACTGTAATTCACTAAGTTGGATGGTTCTGTACTTAAATAAGTTTTCACAATATGCTAAAATTGATTATCCAACACAAAATAAAAACAAAATAAAACAAAACAAAAGTGGTAGATCCTGTATTGTGAATTTAGTTCCTCTGTTAATGATGTAATTGGTTCCTTAAATATAACGGCCTCAGTAGTTCAACAAACGGTAGACCCTTGTCTTATCAATCATTATAATACTATTAAGCAACCATGTGATGTTCAATCACTATAAGTATTAATCCAACATATTGATCAAGGTTCCATCTGCACTTAAATACCATAAACTCGCCTTGCCACAGCTGAAAATTTGCTGCTTGCCAATAAAAATTACAATAATCATAGGAGAGAAATGAAGCATCGAGCATATTACACCCAGCCCCAATATAAACTAAAAAGAAACAAAATTGAAATCATAACTACAGAGGCCAACGTTTAACTACGTCTCATGCAATAAAAACATACTTGAAATTCAAAAGCTATCAAATTTTAATGACCAACTTGCAATCCAAACTCACCTGGCAAGGACATGCAGAAAACAGAACTATCTCGCGACAGTAATATATAAGCACACAACTCCAAAGAGTTCAAAACTATATTCCATTAGTAAGCATGCAGGGGAACAGGAAGAAGTACTTACTTGACTCAAACATGCGACGTTCCGAAGGTGATTGAAACCAAGATCCAGGTGCCGCAATTTTGAGCACCTGCCAAGATTATCAGCTTTTGCAAATTGATTCCGGCTCAGATCCAAAGTTTCCACAGAAGGAAGCAGCTGCAACGACTCGTCCATTAAAACCAATCTATTTTGAGCACACGAAACAAAATTCAGACGGCTCCACACCGGCGAGTCCTTTATATCCGCAGTCCTACTTGCTAAAACATGCCTCAGAGCATCCTGATTTCAACAAAAGTATACAAAAAGAGTTAGACCGTAAAACTACATGAAGTACAGTTGCCCAACCCAACAAACAAAATGCTTGAAGTCAACGCCACACTCCATTATAACATACAGTGGAATTATGACAAATAAGCTTCTCGAGCGTTTGGCGGAGCTCCAGCAGCCCCTGTGCAGAAGACGTCGATATATCACATCCACGGAGCTCGAGAACCCTTAGACGACCAAAAGCCTGAAGCGAAAGCGGCGTCGGATCGCGCGCCGGCTGCGGAAGCACGGAGATCACCTTCAGCGAGGTGAGAAGGCCCAATATCCTCCGCAGCTGCTCAAGCGCGCGGTGGTCTCCCAGGTCCGAAACATAGGCGCGTAGATAATCCACCGGCGCACCGGCGAGGAGTCCTTCAAGCTCCTCCAACGCTTCCAGCCGCGACTGCACATAGTGGAGTCCCACGGGGTTCAGCTTCAAAGTCAGCGACCCCTCAAGGAGCATCTCCGCGTTCTGCTCCACGAATTTCACCAGATAGTCGAGGTACCGATCCCCTGTAACTACCGCCATTATCGAAGAAGAAATTAGGGTTTTCGGCGGGTTAAGTTATCTTCCTCCATTGCCGGTGAGAAGGAGATGAAGAGAAGAGAAAGAAAGGGAGGCGGAGAAGCGGAGAAGCGCCGGAAACCGGCGGCAGCGACGGTTCCCGTACGTATAAAGATTCAACGAATTACGGAGAAATTTCTTCAAAATTTTCTTCGCTGCGAAGAAAGAATTCCGAAAAATATTTAATTAATTAAAAAATTTAAAAACTATAATTGCAGAAAACAATAATAGAAATAGACGGCAGGTGATGAAGACGGCAAAGCGGCAATAGAAATGCTGCCAAGCGGTTTGATCTCAGGTTCCCTTTTTTCCTATTTGGGCCCGTAAAACGTGACTAATTCGATATATGTCCTTTCAATTTTCAGGAATTTTGTTTATTTTGGGAATATTACATACATTGCACCCAATTCTTATGTATTTACCTATCCATTACCCAAATTTTCATTTTTACACATATAACACTTACGGATGAAAATATGGATTTTAATATTAAAATGTGATAATGAATAGGGATGTCAAAAAAGCTCTGTTCGTGAACAACTCGTGTTCCGCTCGTTCGTTAAGTAAAGAAGCCGAACACGAACAAGTTTTAAAAACTTGAATTATAAACGAGCCGAACACGAACAATTCTTTGTTTAGCTCGAAATAAAAAAAAATTATATAATTATTTATATAATAATATATTATATATATTTATATTTAAATTTAAATCATAACATCTCTCATGTGGTAATATGGTTAATCTCTTATTTTGTATATATTTGGTCCAGATTTGAATCTCACACTTTACATCTTTTTTTTTCAATTAAATTTTAACGAGCCAATTTTGAGCCGAACACAAACACGAATATTTAAATCAAACCGAACACAAACACACTGTTCACGAGCCGAACACGAGCCAAACCTGAGCTCGCTCAAGCTCGACTCGTTTACAGCCTTAAGAAAAAGGTACTTTGCAGTTGAAGATTTTTTAGAAAATAATAATGCTACTTTTCATATGATATTTGTAATAATGAAAATTTTAAATGCTACGTATGTAAAAACCCTATTTTTTTAATGTTGTGGTTGACAGAAATAAAAGTCGTCACTTTTGAATTCAATTATTAGAATGTGGTGGGGTCTGTTACATAATTTTTCTTTTTCTATAATGTCATATATCTCCTTATCATATTTTCATTTAATTTTAATAAATTAAGTTTTTTTTATATATAAAATATGATCAAATATGTTTAGGCCTATCTCTATCTTTTTTTTAACATGTCAAATCTAAAACATCTACTCTTCTAATAGGAACATTAGATGGTCAAAATTTAATGTGATGAAACCATCTAAAACGACTCACTCTAATCTTGTCTGCACTGAATCTACTCCAACCCTTTCACCGATATATTCGTTTTGCATTTTGTCTCAACTCTAAAATCACTCATTCACGAGATGTGAAAAGTGGACTTATGTTAGATAGTGAACAATCATCCTAAAAATTTTGTCGAAAAATTATGATATGAATCTTTTCAAAATATTACACTAAATAAAATATATTTTATTTTTTAAAATATTCTTTTTATATTTTGCAATGGACTTTTTAGTACTTATTGAATTGATTTAGTGAGGTTTGACATATTCTATATATATATATATATATATATATTACATCACAATCTCTATTTAATGTTCCTTTTTGTAATATTAAGGGGCATGTATATACATGCTATGCATTGCTTATGTATTTATATATCTAATACCTAATGGTGAAATACATTTATTTTATTTAGTTAATGCGACATATATATATATATATATATATATATATATATTAGATAGATAGGGTGGGATGAGTGTTTGGGAGAATTCTTTATATTATATATATATATATATACATTTAAGTTTTAAGTATGAGACATGTGAAAACATTTGAATTAAGTGGTATGGTTGTAAATTACATATATATATTTTTAAAAAAATTAACATGCCATCAACAAATCTCCATCACGCATGAAAAATGAAGTTTATTAGTCATTATTTTTTTGGGGGGCAACATACATACCACACAATATTTAATTTTTTCATATCTAAAATGTAAAATTCATATTTATATGATACTATTAAAATACTTAACATCAAATTCAAAAAAAAAAAAAAACATTATTATTATAATTACTTAATTTGAAATACATGTTTTCATGTATAGATATATCATATTCAGCATTAAAATATTATATATTAAAAAAAAAAGAATTTGTATTTCTCCTCTTGTCTTCCAATTGGACAAAGAAGTGTCATGTTTATACAAGTAATCTAAGATTTTGAATAGAGAAGAAAATAAATTAAGAACAAGCATAGACATCAGCATATGGAATCAGTTTTAATTACATCATATTTGGGCAGTTACATCATATCAGGACAATTAATGTCATTGATTTATTTCTGGTGATCATGTTAACATTATAAATGTAATCATCAAACTTTAGGTGTTAGACATGCAAATAAATAAAAATAGTATGATATGTAACTAAAATTCTTTATTTTCTTAGGGATAATTAAATAGGCCATTTACATATATATCATCCAATTCCTTCGTATTTACATATCATAACTAAACTTTATTTTCGACATTTTAACCATCAAGATTTTAATATCACAACAAATACATAACTTTTTAAAATTTCTAAAAGATAAAATGCACATTTTTTATGCATAGAATATATATATATATATATATATATATAGATATATATGTGGTTCTCAATTATGTGTTAATAATACTTTGTTTGATATTAATATTAGTTCATTTGTACTTAGCAATTTCAACTATAATTTTAATATCTATTATGATTCCAAATAATATTTATTTATTTTACTAATATTTTAGAAATTTAAATCACAGTCCTAAGCTATTGCACGTTTCCAATACTTCTTGGTAACTATTATATGTTATCGTGTTCCAATGGCCCACAACTAGCTAATTGTACATCTGAGGCTATTAAATTTGGATTGCTTTGTCTCTTTCGCACAGTAGAGATTTTATCTATAAAATCAGAATGATTTTATGATTTTGAATATAAACTAGTAAAATGTCAAAATAGTCCTCAACTATTTACATGAGGTTATTTTGCTACACGAGTTTATAAACTATCAAAGTAGTCCCTAAACTCTTTAAATTGAGGCTGAAAGTCCCAATAAAAAACTATTATAGCTCAGTTTATAAATGGTCGGTGACTACTTTGACACTTCTATAAACTTTGAGACTAAAATGACCACATATAAATAGTTGGGGACTATTTTGATTGTTAAATACAATCTTAATGATTAGTGATAGGCAATCAAATATTATTTTAATGAATTATTTTTTTTGTTTGCAATTTAAGAAGGGTATATAATAAATTTCTAAAATGGATACTTTTAAATTATAATTACTTTAAAATATATTTCCCCCATTCAAAATCATTCTTAGAGAATCCAATTTTCCTTTTGGTTAAATCATTGGTTCTCTAGATGGCCATAAAAGCAAAATAAATCATTAGAGAATTCTTTTTTTGTTTACCTTTGAAGTTTAGATGATTGAAATAGCGTAATGATTGAGATATGTTTGGGTTAACTGCAGTTTATTAAAAAATAGTTGTGAAATCATTGAATAATAATTCAATGTTCAAAAACTGTGGTGGCTATTACAATTTTTTTATTTAAAAATGTCAGACCGTCAGAGCTGCTACCATTGTATCTAGTCATGACCGGTGTGAAAATATAGATTTCAGCAGTTTAGCCAAAGAGACAAATTGTGGTGCAGCGCACACGTATAATCATTTTGTTAATAATTATTAAAAAATAGCATTATGACAATTTGTATTTTAAATTTACTTAAACTCAATTTTATTTATATGGTAGTGGTATATAAATAGTAATATTATAACCAAAATATAATATTTTAATTGCATAGATAAATATTAGAGAAAACTAGATATCACAAATAAAGGAGAAATAATGAATCATAACAATTGTTGAATATAGTCAATGAGTGACAATAATTGTCAAACAAGAGTGATCGTTCATCTCAATTGAATGTGGGCAGAATCGATCAAGAGATGATCTTTTAAGTGAGTGCTGATGTCAGCATTTGAAGAATACAATTAACTGATAGCGGATGTTGGCATTAGCTGGCAAAAGATGATGCTCAGTTACGAGAAAATTGTTAGGCGATGATAGAGCTATTAATTATCATTGGTGCTTAACATATGAAATGATTTTGGAGTATTTTTGGATTTCTAAGCTCTATCTAATTTTAGGTTTCTTTTATGTGTAAATGAGGTGCTTTTATTATTTTTTTGATTGACTATTATTTTTCTAATCCAAGCACTTACTCTAATTATGATAAATTACTTAACCATTAAAGATTGTTTGAGCATTAAAATACTTTGATAACTATTTTATTTTATTTTATTTTTTCAACTAAGACCTCCGAATTTAGTAATCTTATATCGATTTGATCTTTCTCAACGAGATGCTCATTTTAACTATGAAAACTTATGATTTGAAGATTATTTGGTCTTCCAAAATAGTGCATTGATGTTTTAAATAACACATCAAATATTTTATTTCTAACAAATTCGCCTCCTCCCTCGCATGCAAGATCCTCGCTTACTTTGATTTTTCCTCTCTCTCGCCATCGACGAGCCTCGCTGGCAGACCCAGCTTGCTAATCTCCTCCCCGACACCGTCCCTCCCGACCTCTTTGACCCGTGTCGCCTCCTTGCCTCTCGGCTTCACCAGATTTTCTGTGCTGTCGGCCGCCCTTTTTGCCGGAGGCCTCCCTCGACCCCAGCGACCCTCAACAACACCGAAACTTCCATGTTGCTTGGCTTCTATCGAAAATCTTTGGGGAAGTACCACTCTTCTGTATGTGGCTTTGCTTGGGTGTCATTTTTGGGGGTTTGTTTTGATGGCATCCTCTTCTCTAAGTTATTTCGGTCGGCCGTCGTCACCTCCTCCAGGCTTCTTTTTCCTTTTGTGAAGTAGTTGCAGGTAAGTCTTCTAATCCCCTGTCTCTTTCCCCTAAGGCTTCATCCCTCCAAGGTCAGCCAAACCCAACTTTATTGATGGACAATGAAACTATTGATGCTTTGGCCGCCCCCTTTGCTTTCACACTCATTGGTAAGCTCTCCTTTTGGAGACTCTCCATTGAGCATATCAGTAAATTTCTCTTTGCTTTAAATTGGTTGGGAGTTTCTATGTTGGCTTGTTGGATCAGTGACA